TACATTTTGTACCTATTTACATATGCATTTTTATAGCATTTATGTGTGTAGTTTTCTATCTCTATCTTCTTTGTGTTGCTGTGTGTCTTTGTGTTCTTGGATGAACGTCCTGCTGTCTGAACTGTCTGAACTGTCTGCTGTTTGATCTGTATGTTGTTGATGCCTGGGTGTTTGTCATGTGTTTGCTGAAAGTGTGGTTTATTTCTGTTCTGCTCACTGTGGTTCTGTGTCCTTTGAGTTGTTGCAGCTGCTTTTAATGCTCCAGTTTTTTAAATTGCCCCTTGGGGATAAATACAGTGAATAGAATTTTAGCTTTTATTTACCATGTTGCTTCTTTTAGCTTTAAGCTTTGCTACTTTTAGCTACTGTTGTGGGGATTTTATTCCTGCTCAGTTTGTATTTTCTTCAACATTTTAGTCTCAACTTCTTTAACACATTTCAGTCCTTCAGAAATCACACTGTATTTTCACAGAAAACACATTTTCCAGTTTAATCCTTCTTTTCATAAAGACTCGTACATGAAGCGGCAGGATGGGTGCTTTGAGTGGTTGAAGGATTGATGGACAATATAATGCATGGATGAGCAGATTCATGAAAGGCTGAAAGAGGAGAGTGTTCTAATAAACCACCTTTTCAGAAATGCAGGGTTCTACTTCCTGATTAAAAAGCCATGAGTTGGAAATAACAGGCTGTGTGGGAGTGTTCTGGGAGATGCACTGACTCACAGTTAGAATGGAAAAATGACAGAGAGAAGATGTGTGCATCTCCTAAATGTTTTAAACACTCCGTTAATGAACTGTCACAGACATTAAGTCTTCAATGAAGGAATGCATTTCACCCGCCACCTAGCATGTCAGAGCTTTGAACTAAGATCATGTTATGTTAAGAAGGGACAGAGTTAGAGCTGCTATATAACTTTGGAAGTATCATACACAGTCTTGTGATAATATAGGATGTCACTCTGAGTGTGTGTGTTGATATCGACTCTCAGCTAATGCCACAGCAAATTTTAGCTCAATATCTGACATATTGACAGAGTTAAAGGCGTTTTGTCACAAATCCAGAGAGAACAGACTGAGGATAACAGACTCAAACCCTTTTATGATATAAAGTGATTGATTTACAGTGATATACTGTAAATACAGTGATATATATATTTACAGAAATATATATATATATATTATATGCAGTTGGATACCCTGGGAAACCTGGGGAGGAAGGAGAGGCATCAGGAACTGTGAGATAGTGCAGGTTGTTGAGCTCTTACAGGTCAGTGGGTGGGAGATAGCATAGAGATGACAGCAGAGGATTCTGGGTTATTATAGGTCCTTATTGAAGGAGTACAAGTGGATTGTGGAGGCAAGTGGTTGGAAGGCAATCGAGCAGCTGGAGAATTCAATTCAGATTATTTATAAAGCGCCAAATCACAACAAAGTTGTC